GACCAAACCCATTACCACTCAGCCACTAGTCATCATGGGAACCACCCCCTCCCAGCTAAAGTAGTTGAAAGGAAGATTCACCAACCATCGGACTTCTCAGGGGATCGTCTCGAGGCCAGTGCCTTCCTGAACATCTGTAGGACGTACCTCCGCGTCAACAAGGATGCTTACACTGATGATGAGGACAAGGTGATCTTTGTCCTGTCATTTATGGTGGGAGGAACGGCAGCCCCTTGGAGGGAAGCACGAGAGGAAGATGCCTTCACCGTTGTAAGTGGCAAGGAGAAGGGATTTGGGACCTTCAACGACTTCGTCACGGAATTCAAGAAGGCGTTTGAACCCCTCTCTCCTACCTCCGACGCCATCACCAAGCTCAAAGCCCTGAAGCAAACAGGCCTTGCAGAGGACTACGTCGCCCTCTTCCGACCCCTCGCAGCACGTTCAGGGGTCAAGGAATTTAGAAGTCCTGTCGGACTACTTCTTGTCTGGACTGTCTGCTGGCCTAGTCCAAAACATCCTCTCTGCACAAACACTCCCCACCGACATAGAAGGGTACTACACCTTGGCTGTTAGGTTGGATCTGCAGTGGCGTAAAGCCACCGGATATGCAAAGGCCTCCAAACCGTCCCAGTCAACGTCAACCTCCTCGAAACCCACTGGCTCAAACCCCTCCAACCCTGTGCGCTTGTGAAAGCTGACGGACGAAGAACGTGCCCTACTCACCAGCAAAGGGGCCTGCTTTCGCTGCCGTGAGGTGGGCCACATTGCCCAGAAGTGCCCCCTCCGAGGACATGATCCAAGGTAGGGCGCACCTAAGCCTCCCCTTTGAAAGATTCGCTCTCTGAACACACAGGAGGAGAAGCCCAGTCCCTCAACTGACCGCATCCGCACCGTCTTTCAAGAACTCTCTGCAGAAGAGAAGCAGGAGGTGGTCACCCTGGCGGAAAGGGAGGGGTTTTGAAGCGGTCGCCTACCTCGACGTTAGGACAACCGCCGGTCACAGTATCACCAGTAATTGTAGCAGACGTATCCAAGCAATCCATGCATATACCTGTCTCTCTTACCTGTGAGAACCGAACCGTCGAAACCCATGCCCTTATCGACTCTGGAGCAGGAGGACTCTTTATCGACAAGTCCTTTGCTACCAAGACACAGCTCCCTCTGACACCGTTACCCGCCCCCATCCCTGTCTACAACATAGATGGAATACCCAACACCGCAGGATCTATCACCCACGCTGTGCACACGACCCTGAATGCTGCTGAAGTAGACCATGACTCCAAGCTGCTGTCGACGGCCCTCGGCAATGAAACCGTCATTCTGAGCTTACCCTGGTTGCAACAGCAGAAAGCCATCATCGACTGGGCACACAACACAGTAGAGATCACAGCAACAGACCCAGAACCGCCAGTTGAGAACCTATCCCTCGATGACAATGAAGTTCTCTTGGCCTACATCAAGGGCGAACCTGTAATGGGGATCTTTCAGGATACCCTCAAATCACCCCCCACCACAGAACACCGACACACCATCTCCCATAATCAGGCACCCCTCTCTCTCAACTGTGTCTCGCACTGGAAATCCCCGCAAGGAAGGACCTTCTACTCTCATGGAGGAGCTGCGTGGATCAGAGCCAAGATCAACCCATCGCAGGAAATGGCACACAAGTCGGCAACCCCGGACAAGGTACGGGACCTGGATGACATGATCCCAGCATACCTGCATGACTTCAGAGAAACCTTTGAGAAAAAGGCAGCAGAGCGTTTCCCTGAATCCCATCCTTACGACCACCCAATTGACCTCAAACGAGACTTCGTTCCAAGGAACTGCAAGGTCTACCCCCTGTCCCCAAAGGAGGAAGCAGCACTAGACGAGTTCATTGAAGAAAACCTTCGAAAGGGATACATCTGCAACTCCACATCCCTGTTAGGACTGTGTCGCTGGAGTTCCGGGGTTAGGAGTCGGAGCTGGGCGGACACGGGGTAAGGACTTCGGCGAAGCTATTAGCAACACCCTGAGGATCCCGACAGTGTCCTCGATTTCGGAGTCGGAGGTCAGACGGAGGTCGGGCGGAGATCGGACGGAGGTCGGGCAGAGGTTGGACAGAGACAGAGAGAGTAGATTGGAGTAAGGTAGCTGATGGAGTACAAGCGGAGCGTAAGGTAATGAGATATCCGAACTGAGGAACACCGCACTAAGTCCGGGGGTTTATATACTAAGAAGCTGGTGTCCCCTAAGTCCGAATTGGAGGTGGAGGTCTGATCGGAGGTGGCGGAATACCGACACTAAGTGGAGAAGTGATATAAGTGGTGCCAGGCACTGATATGGGAAAACAGACATTCCAGCGGAGATAGGGTAGACGCTCGGAAAGCCATATGGGCCCCGGCGGGGAACGGAAAGGAAACAGAAAGGGAATTGGAACCAGTACGTAAGTGTCTAATCGTAAGCAAGTCCGAAAGTCCGGCGGAGTTAGCGCGGTGTCCAATAGAGTTCTGGAGGGACTTGGGCATGGGACGTAACAACGCAGACTGATGACAAGCTTAGCACACCGGTTCACTGGGGGTCTGGGGGTCACTAGGGGTCTAGGGAGTGAGAACGCTTGATTGGTATAAGAGGTCAAACTGGGGTGCCCAGTGCAAGACCTGTCCTTATATACTAAAGTACACGGTCGCTGACTAATCGGAGAACAATAGTCACAAGACAATAATGATGGAGAACAATAGCGAATGGGGACAAAGGAGTCACGTGGTGTTGTGACCATGTAGTACAATGGCGAAAAGAACAATAGTGATGAGAACAATAGGGATATGGAGCATGGTGTTGGAACCATGGTAGGTACGAGTGTCCGGGTTGTGCCGTAAGGAGAGGGAATGCATGGTAGAGAGGATACGAGGAGAAAGGAAAAAGAGACGCCCCCACAGGGTGTTTGTAACAGGTACCTATTGACCACTGTTTGGTCAGAGTTCTCTGCCTCATGTCCTACCTTCTGACCTGCCTCATGGTGACCTTACGACTAATACCTGAGTTGTGCCGAGTCCGGACCTCTTTCAATGAGTAAGCGCTCCTGCTATCACATCAGTCACCTGTCAGTGAGTTAGGATGGGCGCTCCCGGCTGTCATGAGGTCTGGGGTCTGATCCTAGCCCCTCCACTTTCCGATACAAGTTGTCCGCGGTCCAGGTGAGCGTCTGTCCCAGTACACATGACCCCCAGGTCGCGTGGCACGAGAAAACTGTGACACTACCCCCTCTTCAAGATCTGAGCTCCTGCGAAGCGTTCAAACCAAATATTGTGTTGAAACTCCTGGGAAACTGGTTGTGGGTTGTTGAGAGCGATCGGCTGCGGTGTGTTCAGATGAAGGGCATGGAATTTGTCGAGTAGTTCTTTGATGTATTTGACATTGCGCACAGGTTCCCAAGTCGCTTCAGAGACGTCGTAACCGGCCCACTTGACAAGGTATTGCACATATCCACGGTTGACGCGAGAGTCCAGAATCTTTTCGACTTCAAACTCGCCGTGACCTTCGACTTCAATTGGGTCAGGCTTCTCCAGATTGTGGTTGCTGATCTCGTCTTTATTGTAGGGGATGAGCTTTGAAGCATGGAAGACGGGATAGACCTTGTTCTGTGGCGAAAGTTTGACTCTGAAGTCGACAGGTCCAATCTTTTCCGTTATCTCGTAAGGCCCATAGTTCTTGGCTGAGAGCTTGGCTGACGAGTTGCGGATTTTGAGGTCACGTCCTTTGAGCAAAACCTTGTTGCCAACCTTAAAAGGAGGGTCCACACGGCCTTGGTCATAATACCACTTCATCCATTCAGCAGCCATACTGAGTGATGCTTGCGCTTGTTCCTTTGCTTCTGCACAATTGTGGAATACGTCTTCGAGGGAAGGGAAGGCAAGTTCTTCACAAATATTGGGGACCATCTTTGGGTTGTATCCGTACTCAATGAAGAAGGGCGATAGGCCAGTTGACTCGTGTGGGGCATTGTTGTACGCAAACTCTGCGGTGGACAGAAGGGATGCCCAATCGTCTGGTCGGTGCTCTGTGAAGATCCGAAGGTACTGCTCAAGCGACTGGTTGACTCGTTCAGTCTGTCCATCTGTTTGTGGGTGATAAGCTGTGAACATTGACGATCGATTTCCTAGCAATTTGCAAAACTCCTTAAACGCTGCACTCGCAAACTGTGTGCCTCAGTCAGAGATGATCTGCCGCGGTAGGCCATGGTGTTTCAGGATGTGTTCGTAGATGAGCTCAGCTGCTTCTGTTGCCGAGAAGTGGTCGTCAGCTGCGAAGAAGTGGGACCGTTTCGAGAGACAGTCCACTACCACTACTATCGCGGTGAAGGTGTTGCTGTGTCTATCAACTGAAGGTGGAAGCTGGGAGATGATATCAATTGACCAGATTTCCCATGGTCCAGCAGGGATCTCATTTGGCTGCAGTAATCCGTACGGTGGTTTCCTGACTGACTTGTTTCGTTGGCAAGTGTCGCACCCTTGTGCGTACTTCTTGACGTTGACGAACATGCCGGGCCACCAATAGTTCTGTGCAATAATCTCCAAGGTCTTCCACCTTCCTGGGTGACCAGCTAGTAACGTGTCATGATGTAGTTTGAGCAGGTCGAGGCAGATACTTTGGTCCTTGGGTACGTAGACTTTGCCTCGTCGTAACAGTAAACCGTTTTCCATGTTCCAGTCTTGCAGGTACTTTCCAAACTCCAGGGGTCCACTAGCTAGCAATTCCTTGTAGTGCTTCGTCATTTTGTCATCTTCAAGGGCCTTCTTGATGTGTTCGAGCAGTTCCTTGTTGTCAACGATGGAGGTATGACCAGGTTGCATGGCTTTCATCTGTAAAAACCACCTTTGTGAATTACACCTATTCAGTACAAATTAGCTCTTAATAGACACAGTAGTTGGATAGTGAAAAATAGTGCAAAATCGAGAGGTCCCCAAAAATAATTGCACTATTTTGCACTATTAATGCAAATTCGTGCAAAGTAGCACTATAGTAGACGGAAATAGTGCTACAGTAGACGTTGATAGTAGTGGATAGAGTGGGTCTATAATTTCTGACTGGTGTAGAGATGCTTTCTATGACCTCAAAACCATCTATTTATAAGCCCCAGATGCATTTAAAGTGCTGGAAAAAATATATGAAAAAATATCCTCACCCAGTCTTGAACCCCCAACCCCACTTTCAGATAACACTCCTATTCCGAAAGGGTGATCTATACCACTGCACCACCAGAGCTTACATAGATCCTCTCCACAATTACTATATATATCCATCACTGCTGAACTTGGGCAAAGTGGTGACACCTCATCTTGAGATTCACCTGCTGAGGCTTGCATATGTGTAATGTCTGGGACTATGTATATAATATGGAGTGTGCTATAGAGTATGCTTTATGG